GGACAATTGTCTGATGTTTAGAGATCGAGTGCTGGTGCCAACGAAGTTGCAGAGGCAAATATTGCAGCAGTTCCACACGGGGCACCCTGGTACCAGCCGCATGAAAGCCTTGGCACGCGGTTTTGTTTACTGCGAGAAATGTGAATCTTGTCAACTTGCAGCGAAGGCCCCTCCCAAGTGTCAGTGGCAACCTTGGCCTAAAGCAGAGAAACCGTGGCAACGAATACTGACTATAAGCAGCAAGTAGAGTTTGTTCTATGTAGCTGCATCAATCGTTGCTTATAGACAAATACCCGTTATATTGTGTACCGCACAATATATTTTGCGTCGGCAAAGGGTCAAGTGACTTCTTAAATTCCGACACCGATTTTGCCTCAACTGCGTACTGCGGCTGGTTGTTCCATACATTCACCACTCTGCGTTCGAAACAGGGTTGGTCAGCGACCCGCTTCAAATCCGGTACGACAAGCTTATATTGGTGTCCTTTTGTGCTGCTTGGTGTGCGCAGATGAAGCAGCGGTCTCAGCATTGTATAATCACCCAAATGCAGTATCCGGTGCGTCACGATGAGGTCAACCCTCAGTCGACGATAACCTAGGGTGTAGTTTCTTACACCGGTCATCGTACGGTACACGTCGTATGTTGGGAATCAGCCTGGTGGCTATCTGCTGCACTCGCTCAAGCTTTTCTTCCTCGCCCCAGTTAATAGGACAATACGCGGGAGAGCCGTACTCTAACATTGGTCGTATTGTTGAAACGAAGAGGCGAGTGACAATCTCTTCGGACCAAGTGTTGAAGCTGCGCCTGAGCGCCCAAAGCATCCGAAAGCTGTTTTGGTACAGCCTATTCGTGTGGTCCATGAACTTTAGGTCGTATCGTGAGGGTACACCGAGGTCGCGCACGAAAGTCGCGGGATGCAATGGTTGACCAGCCACCGTGTATGTTCGACAGTGCTCACATTTACCCAGCCTCGAATACACTTAGACTATGCAGGACCAATCAGTGGCCAATCCTATCTCGTTTTGGTCGACTCATTCACCAAGTGGCCTGATGTGATTCCGGTAAACAATCCGACTGCCCAGCACTCTGTCAGCGAGCTGGAGAAGCTGCTCCGCTATTTCGGCCTGCCAGAGGTGTTAGTGACAGACAATGGAACACAATTTACCTCGACTTCTTTCCGCGTATGGTGCAAGGAAAAGGGAATTCAGCAGATGTTCTCCCCACCATGTCATCCGCCATCAAACGGACAGGCGGAAAGGTTCCTGGATACGTTCAAACGTGCACTCTGTAAAGCATGGCAAAGAAGGGCTTCACAGGATGCAGTTCAATCTTTCCTATGCATGTATCGGAACGCTCCGAATCCAAACTCCCCTGATGGGAAATCCCCCACAGAAGTACTATTTGGAAGAAAGATCCGGACGTTGCTCGATAATCTTTACCAAGGAGAATAGAAAAACACGGCAGTAGTCACTTGCAGGAAGATCGCAAAGTTGGGCTACGTAACTTCAATGTCGGTGACATGGTTTACGCTCGGGATTTTCGAAGGCCAAAGAGGTGGTCGAGCGGAACTATTCTCGGCAGGAAAGGCAGGGTTATCTACGAGGTGATGCTTGGACGTATGAGGTGGATTAGGCACATCAATCAGTTGAGACCGAACCATAGCAAAACCCAAGATCCCCACGAACCACCAGCTTTGCATTTGGACATTCTACTAGACACGTTCGGGCTGGAAGTTAAGGGTCAGCAACCAGGTGAGATAAAACAAATGCCGCAGAAATCAGATGCACAATGCAGGCCGGCTCGAAAGCAGAGAAGGCCACAACGGCTGCAAATCGATCCCCGGGCGAAAAGCTACAAACACAATCAGGTCCGAAGGGTGTGCAATCGGACTCAATTCGGAAAGGGAGGTGACAGCTTGGCGAGAAAGCTGATTGCCAACGCGCGCGTGTTTGCCAAAAATCGTGCTTGGGAAAGACTCTGCGAGCATGTTGCCGGGGCCCAACCGAAAGCTGACGAAATCGTGCATCAGACAGCAGGCGTGTTGCCAAGGCCTGACCGGAAGCTGATGAAATCACGCGTCCGACATCACTTGCGTTGCCATGCTCCGGGTAGGCGGACGAAGACTGGACTGCCCGAGGGTTGGTGAGACCGACATATAAATCTGAGCGTTCTCTGTTCTAATACAACTCTGGTCTGCTGAGTCTTCTTCTGTCTTCCTTCCTGTCGGGTTTGTCAAGACGTCAAACAGAGCACGCGTACGGGCGCAGATTTAGCAGCAGACGTGAATCAACCGGTCGATTGCGGGCGCAGCGTTATAACACTACCGTATCAAAATACCTTGTACACAAGACTACATCGAAAATCTTCAAGAGTACATCGGACATTTGAACTGTTGGTTCGCTGCCATCCAACCATAACGACTTACGGGACGAAGAAAAATAACAGTAAGGGAAGGGGCTTACCTGAAAACCTTATTGTTCTAAGCAAGCGTTCAGTGTCAAGACTACTACACCTTGTCAATAGCATACTGTCACAAGTAACTAGCTATCGTGTAAAGATAAGGCGGCATTGGCGAGACCGCTTCCTTGCGGCTTTCACTGCCGCGCGTCATAATCAGCCATTATCCCGTAGATAACTCAGCACCAAGCACACGTTAAAAGTGCAGTCCGACTAGGGGACGGCAGTAGTCACGCAACTGGTGTCGACTGCGAGCCATGTCCTGTAAAGGCTCCAACCAGGCATAAAGTGAGTTGCTGTAGCCTGGAAGGCGACACTGACTGGCAACACCAAGTTTGGTCGTCAGTAACTTCATTTCCCGCTTCCAAGTCAACTTTAGACCATCGAAAGGCTTGCACCACCCTACATCTGGCAGACAAAATGATGCCGTCCTCGGTAAGCGATCACCGGACGTACGTAGTACGTGCTCAAGCCAACGCAACTTCAGTGCCATCTGTGTTTCCAAGTAACTAGCATAGTTATCACTGCCTAGTACTCGCCTACACACATCATCTTCGCGGACACGCTGTTGTTACGCGACTCCAGCAATGCTCCGCAGGCAGCGGTGATCAGACTTGGAGGCGCATCAGCTCTTCAGACCGAAGAGACGGCTCTCACTGTGGCCTTGTAAACAGAGCCTTTTAGACGGAGAGGAACTTCTTTCTGTCGCCAAATATGTCGCAGACGCTATAAGACAGTTCTGGCTTTTATAATACTTGAGCTGACTTCCGTGCTGATGCAGCTGCTAAGGTAAGTGATTTGATCAACTACTTCGAGTTCCCCGCAATTAATAGTCAAGGGGTCATCAAGTAGCTGGTGCTCCTACAGCAACGTTTTGCACATTGGTGCAAAGCGCATACCAACTAATGGAGCCACTAGAGAGGTTATTCTGGGTTGATTGGGGCGCCCCAGTATTGTTAAACAACAAGACAATATCGTCATAATCAAAATCAACAGGCAGCACCACAACGACTGCATCGTGCGATTCCGCGAAGGAACACTCCACGACGAAATTAAACAAAAATGGGGAATCTAGACGACTTTGATGGACGCCACTTGTTGTCGGAAAGTCAGCCGTCAAGTCGCCATATACGCTGACGCGCCCTGTGATGTTCTTGTATAGCGTACGCAAATCTTCACATATTTCATGGGAAAACATTTCCGCGCAAGCATATCGAACAGAATACTTCCTCCGGCTGAGTCGAACGCACTCTTGAAATCGAAGAACACAGCTATTGTCGGCCTGCGGTATGCGTGGCGCTGCACTAGCACCTGCCGCAAATGGAATATGTGGTCCATTTAGCCTTGTCCTGGGCGGAAACCAGCCTGCTCTTCCCTAATCCGGGATTTCCGTTCCCCAGTGAGGCGTCGAATGAGAATCGAGGCTACTAATTTTGTCACCACTGGTGTTAGCACAGTCGGTGTCACTGCCCTTCTTGTAGGTTGTCATTGTAATCGATACACTCCAATTAGACGGGATGGTCTCATCCTTCTAAGCCTGTTCGAACATTGAAAGCAGTGCTCTGCAGAGGACCTCACCACCATCCTTTATTAATGCGGGTGAGAGCGAATCGGGGCCGGCAACGTGAAGACGATTAGGCGTTTCGGACCTCAGCCTCCGATGGAACCTCTAAAGTAACCGGCCATGATTTATGCTGGATCACTTGAGTATTAAGAGTTCCGGTAGCATGTGGCCAACTGAACTGCTGTCGAAAGTGCTCCGCACAAAGAACAATACGGCTCTCATTATTGTAAATCAGAGTACACGCGCTGTCTCGGATTGTCACGTTGGCTCCTGGTTTCCTGAGACCAGTTAGAAAAGCTTGCATCAACTGCATACTTTTCCAGTCTCCTTCATTTTTCAAACCCTACTAGTCCACCAGACTTCTTCGTCAGCACGCTGACTCCGCTTTACTTCTCGTTTGATAGTACGTCCAGACCAAGCTTGGACTTTTCTTATGGGTTAAAACAGGTTCACCGACCTCTCGGATGTACAGTGACTGATGCGGTGATGTTTGATAGTACCACAAGCAGAGGCTCCTGCGTCGAGCGGTGATTTCCCTTACCTCGGTGAGACGGCCTCTTCTGCCTAATGGTCCCAAATAAGTTGTAAACACCCGGATCTTTTTTGGACCGCACAATCTGTGCACATACTTTCGGCGTTTGTGTTTAGGCGGCATATTGAACTTCTATATTACCTACCTCTCGATTTATTATTGACAGAGCGACACTAACACAAATCGACATTGTATGACATCTTTCCTTCTTATTTCGTTTTAGTTTCCGAATTCTTAATTTTCCCCTAGTACAAATGGAAAAGAGAATATTTTACCGCCTAACTTTTTGGCACTTTGCCGGTTTGGATTTGCTTCCGCCGAATTTTAACTTTTCCCCTGGTATCCCACGTTTATTTCCCTTCGATCTCTTCTTAGCAAGCGCTGCCTTCGGCAAATCAAATGCATCACCAGCACTTATTCTCTGTTTTCATCTTGTCCGTTTTGTAGAGCGCTTTCTTTCGTGTCACGGTTCTTCCACGATGAAGTTCCCATCGGGACAAATTTGGAGCATAGCGATTCGAAATTTGTCGCACAAGTCAATCAGCTGATCCGGTCTTATGCGAATCATTTTGAGTCTGGACGTTTACGTGAGGCGCTACGTCAGATATTGTCCATAGCTCGTCTGGGCAATTGCTACGTTCAAGCTAACCAACCCTGGGTGGCAGTGAAGAGCGAAGAAACGAAGTATGTCCTTTAAACTGGGAATTTTCAATCCACTTTGTTTAAACCCCATGCATTTTTTATCATCTCAATCACAGAACCCCGGTTTTTCTCACTGATTTTACGTCTATCGATCACGGTCTGTGAACCGGCTACGAGTGTGTGGTGAAGCCGTGCTTGTAGGATTCGGTGCACCACCATTCCACCCCCGCTTTCCCTTCTGTGTGGTGGTAGGTTCCTCTAACCCGCTACGCGTCTGTTGACAATCGGTTTCCATAAGCTAGTTCTTCCAATGGATTTGTGATCGATTCACTTGTATTGTTCCTCTCTTGTTTCCGTCTCTGTCGTCAGTTCCGTTTCCCTTCGATCGTCGCTGTTGTCCACCCTACCCCCACTGCGAACTGTTCACATTGCTTAATCGACTGGTTGCTCCCGAACCTGTTTGACTCCATTTGTGTTTCCCTAACCCGTTAATCAAGGCAACCAAATCCCGGGGAAACGTTTCGCAAAATGTGAACACAACCGCGTTTTGTAGAGTTGGAGGTGCAGCTTTGTCAAAGTGTACACACACGCACGCACATATGTCGATCATTGGGTTCCTACCATTGCAGATCATTGACAACAACGAGCGCACCTCCGGAACACAAAGGTCGGAATCGATTTGTGTTTAAGAGCGTGTAACCGGAGGGTTAAACTTGACTCACCGGATCCACACAATGTACATCCGTTAGCAGATGGCTCTTCGCGTGACATTTCAATTCCCCTTTCACTGTCAGCCCATTCTGGATGGTGGATGTGCATACTTCGCGATTGTAGTCGGCTTTGCGAACTTCGGGTCTATTGTGTTGAATGGTTTTTGACAGATGCAGTGAGAATCTGGCTTGTGAATGCTGGCCGTTACATAGGCAGTACTACTGGTTCTTGTTGTTGTTGCGTCAGTGCTGCCTTTTCACCACAGTTGAGCCAATGTCTTACACTTAGCTTTTCCCTCATTATACTTGATCTGACCGAATCCCTTCTCTTTACTTTACTTCTCTCTGTTAATCCTCCACATATTCCCCATTCATTTTACACGGTTTTCCCTTTCATTTTCGATGTTAGTCGCTTGATATCCCCAACATCACCCTAACAATACATCGGAATTAATACACGCTTTTGATTTGTTCAGTTCAGCCATTCTGTCACACATTTACCGTCCAGGTTGTGTATTTATTTTATTCCGTATCCAAACGTTGCCTCATGTTGAGCTTGATGGTTCTTCATCGCAGTTGGGATACACCGACTTACATTTATTAGATGTTAACTGGGTTAAGCTCATTCCATTTTATTTGACTTGGTCAACTCTGTTATTATGCTGCATATTCTGTGTCAATTCTGCGCACTTATTTTCCTTCGAATTTTATGTTGGCTGTCTGATATCCCCGCTGTGGCTGCGCTTGGTACTCATGTTGACAAAGCACTTACCTGTCTAACACCCTCCACCTCGATTACTGACTCCAGGAGACAGTTGGTCGTTGCTGGAGGGTACGGAATGAACGATACTTGTGGCCATGCTGGGCTCGAAAAGTGGTTCCATGCACTCAGTGTGGAGCAGACTACGGTCCAGCCACCGCCTTGTGTACATTTGATACGCATGATTTTCTACATACGTAGACAGATATGCTGCTGCTGTCCGTGTTAAAGGAGTGTGGGTCGGCTCAGTTGATGAAACCTGGCTCCCATCCACCTGCCTCCCCTTTTTATTGCTTCGGTTTTACACTGGATATGGAGTGTGTGGGTGGTACAGCGCAAGCCACCCATGGTCGCTCTGTATGCGCAGGCATCCTGTGGCTGTCCCCATGGAGGCCACAGAACCACGCAAATCCGGAGCCAGATGCTACCGACTAGTAATTCTTCCAACGCAGAATACAAATGCGTTGTTACAGATTTCAAGCACTGCTGAAATATCTTATGTGCGTCGTATCGTCTGAATGTTAGTTTCGGATTTATTTCAAGCCTTTTGCCCTCTTTTTGTCGCTTTCCTCTTGCCGGTCTGATAGATGAAGAAGGATGGCTGCTGTTTTTTACGAGTGCGTTTATTGTACTCCACATTTCTTGGTAAAATTCGTGCTGGTGTTATGAAATCAACGATGCATTTGTGTGTTTAGTTTAGGACTGAAGCTATTGAAGTCCACCTGATGCCTTTTTCATGTTGGGTCACGGTAACCTACCGTCATTGCTGCGGGCTTTCTAGATCTAAATGTGTATCTAAGATGCATATTACTCTCGCTTCGTTATCATACTTTTGGCTCGACGCAGGCCATCTAACTTGCCAGTAATCGACTCAGCGGATCATCCTTGTTCAGAAGCGTTCTGTATGAACACAACGGCATTCTCTGGTCAATCTCATCCCACACCTTAATTTAAAGATAAGCAACGAAAATTCCTGCCAACACCGATTCGAGTGGGCTACCAATTGCAATATCAGGAAATTAGTGATGGCCTTTATTTTGATGTCAGAACTTGGTATAGCAGAAAGCTGTTCCCATTCCGTGATTGGGCGTACTTCTTGCCCGGTTTTTGGTCACATGACTATGTGTGCGCCGGATCGTCTCCTAGTACCATATTGATGCATAGCGTGATAGTGTCGATGTTCGTGGCGGACTTTTCAAACAGTTCGATACTATCCAAAACTCCACCCGGAGCCCGTTAGAAGGACATATCGTAGCCTGTATCTTCAAAAGAACACATTTGTTTCCGTGCATGCGTCGTGTTAGGAAGTCAGATTTGCCTTCGAACTGCGCGAACTTTTTACGATTCTATACCTTCACAAAAAAGAAAAAATTAGTACCGTCACTTTGTTGCTGGATTTTATGCTACTATTTTTCCATTAGTAGTATGATCTTTTCACCTTTGTGCTTTTTACTGCAGGGCTACACTCAACTCTTGATTTTCCGCTGCTGAACCTGATTAAGGCTGTATTTTTCAGTTCGGTATCATCTGGTTTTTTGTAGGATACTTTGCAGAACGTTCCATTCTAAACGATCTCACTGTTCCCTCACCAATTCTATCTTCAAAATGCTTGTCACAACTTGTCTTGACTCGACCGGCTCTCCAGTGTACTGATCATGTCCACTCTGCTCACATTACATTGCAGACCAAAGGCTAGCGTTGTTATCACGGTCGCTGCAAATGTGGCCTGTTTGATTGGCTTATTACTCTACCCGTTCATGCCGACAATCGCTCGCCACATCTGGTGTACTCAATGCAACTTGCCCCTTGATTCGCTCAGTCTAGTGCCGCTCAGCCGTCAGGACTATCGTATGCCACAATTTCTACCTCCCGGTCATCGGATTGCGAAGGTATCTTTCATTGTTTTTTCCTGTAATCTGTTAATACTGCCCTCATCCACGCGCACTTTATTCGTTTGCACCTTTTGTTCACATTCCCATAATTGTTTACTGTGTCGCGCGAGTTTTAGTCACGGACTCTGTCCAACATTTTTGTCCTTTTTTTCGAACCTTTGTCCCTCGATGAAACAAATAAACGAATGTATTGTACAGTCCAACCTGCTATGTTGATCACCTGTCTATGGCGACCAGCCAAAAACATCCCTACCTTTTCTCCTATGAGTAATGTCCCTATACATGAACCTGTCCATGGCGACCACTTTTTCTCGGTCCTTTGAGGGGTTGCCTTAGACAGGGCTGACTCTATATTATTGAATATGCGCGAGCTACACTCTGACTTCCGACGTAGTTCATCACCACTAAAAAAGAAATAGCTCAAATCAATCGGCTAGTTTCGGAGTTGTTCTCTCCCAACGCGTTTCGTCCTGATTTGTACTTTTCAGGTAGAGATAGCAGCGGCTGAGAGTGTGGAACTCGGGGGCGTTGTGGTTGACGGCCGATGCCATGATCCCAAGGCCATTTGGTTCGGCAAGCAGCGTTTGACACAGCGATTAGAATCCCAATATTGGGGTTCCTACTATCAGCCGTGTGTTTGGATTTGGAAACATGACAATCTCAGTGATGGCTTTGGTTCCGTTGGGAAGCAACCTGTGTTATTTTTGCTACTAGGACCGCATCCGAAGTGGTGAGGTTTCCTTATTGCTTGCCGTAATTCACTATACGTCGTGTTTCACTCTCCGGCTATCTCCACCTTAAGTTTAGAAACAATGGCACGATCGGTTGCGAGGGCGCAGCTCCGAAACTCTGCACTTCGGATGCGTTCCTTGTGCTCCAAATAGCCCGACGTTTACACCAAGTTAGACCTTGACTTTAATTAAGGTAGCGTGTCGCAATTCAGACACACGGCGGCTGCTTCAAAACCTAAAACTGGGAACCGGTTGGGTTTAGTACCCCGACATCTACCTGCTTACCATGGAAGACATATTTTCTGGTGCAAACGTAATCAATGAGCAAGCATTAGAGCACAATAACGTTTCCATCCGTAAGTTCTTGTGGGATTCTTTACGTCAGGAAATTACCACTGACTCTGGATTCGTTCTACTGGCGGCCAACATTCATGTAGCATCTCTTAGGAAAACTGATTAATTCAATGGGAAAACAGTTCGAGCCAATAGTGTACAACAGAAACACATCTAGTGGTTTCATGAACGTTCGCACCCAAATGACGTGCGCACCAACCTTCCCATGGGCAAGCGGAACTGATCCACCGATCCGGACCGCGTTTGTCTCCTGATGTCCGACTGGGATTCGGAGAACGAGTTCAGTTCAGTTTGTCTGGCATCGCAGGCAAAAAGGTAGATTATAACAAACCACTATCAACAAGTTAAGTTATCTAGATGTAAGACCGCAGATTGCCTACTTATTCGTGGTGTCGATCACACTGATGATTTCTGATTGGCTAACTGGTCACGTCTTCTAACCCACGGTCCATTGAAGTCCGCCGATACGTTGTTGCTTCGAGTTTCTCGATATCTTGGAACATATTTGGAACCAATCGGGAAGTCGTCATTTCAGAAAACTTGGTAGACGACTGGCTAATTCACTTCGCCTCATGAAGTTTTTTTTGTCAAAAACGAAACGTTGTTTATCACCATAAATATATTAACCGGTCGTCTACCAAATTTTCTGAAATGAGTGCTTCGAGTTTGTTTTTGTTACCATGTCTGACACTCTGTCCAACCGCAAATGCTCACATTCTTTTGAAGACCGTTTACCTTCTTCTCTAAGCTTCACGACCATTTTTAACCCAGATGCGTCTCTCTCACAGGATTAGGCTATGTCGCTGGCTGCGAAATCCAGCAGGGATGTCCAGTATGTTTCTTTATTTCAAGCCCCGTCACTTAACCGACATTGTAATGTATATGGACGCAACGTAACAATTCGTACCAGCCTCATCTCCTTTTCCTCTTCGGATTACTGCGTACTGTTCCAAGATTACGTTACCGCGCAATCGCTCGAGGAGGTCAATGGGCGAAATTGCCTAAGCACTTGCATTATTTTTGCTCACGTGATTAAGTTAGTCATCGCATAGAAGCGGACTGAAAAGCTGGCTCAAGGCAATGTGTGTATTGTCGCACCTTATGCGCCTGGTTGCACCATCGGCTAGAGACTATTCGATGATCACAGACCTTGTTGCTTTCATTGTCTTACTTTTGCTTGTTGCTCTTATCCAGCAATTCATGCTTATAATTGTAATACTGATGTAAGAACTTTAGAGTTCGTCCCATTAGCTTGTAAAACAGGTAGTCATCCACTTATTGACCCTGCCACTTTCTAAATGCTATGTCCTACGTAGGTACCGTCAGTGGAAATCGTGTATCTCGGGACCAGCCCTCTCCTCTGCGACATTGTCAACTTTCATGGCAGTTGGGGAGGCGGAGCAAATGTGCTATATCGCAGTTAGCTTGCAAATCATGACGGTCCGAAACTGTTCCCCGTCGCCAAATGGCATAAGCTGCTGACTGGCGGTGCAAACCGCTGGTGGTCATTGGTTCGAATCCTTATAGATCCGATGAATGCGAACTACTGATGATGCCCAACAGGCTAAACCTGCAATCTAGTGCTTTTCCGGATATGTGGAGGACTATCTGCTTTTGGAAGCTGGTGCGATGAACTGTCACTCAAGTGGCGGTTGAACTGTTCGCTGAGCTTGGCAATTTTGTTGCAAACGTTTCGTCACCAATTGAGGTAACATCATCAGTGCCTAGTGGATTGGTGTGCAGTAGCGTAGAGTAGCCTCGGTGAGAGTATTTTTGTATTGTTTTCTGACAAATGGCTTGTTTACTTCAAGTCACTTATCGAAGCAACCACCACATTCGGCTGTTTCATCCTATGCGGAATCTCTCTTGTTCACTTCACGAAGGTGGACACGTTGAGTGGAGGGGGTTATAGCTTTCCTTAGCCTCATTTTTTCTGGCATCAGCGTTGTCTAAGTGGTTCACACTTTGGGTTCGTCAACCCACCGAGTCAACGGTTCGGAACAGTATGGGTGCGGTAACACTTCATCTGGCGTGCGACCGCTGATGCTCACGTAGCAGTGACACGGGATTCCACTGTACCGCTTATGATAAACAGTGGTAGTAGTATATTTCCCATCAAGTCAGAAGCTGCGTCCACATTTGGCAAAGGTCATACGTGTACTGGTTGTATCATGTTCTTGCACGATCAGTATGCAGTTTCATGCTTATCTTTGTCCGTCTTCCTGGCAATGGATGTCTCGCACGTTTGTTTTACGTTAAAGGAGAGCGCATTGTTGCACCATAAGGATATTGTAGATACTGAAGGCTGCTCACATTAAGTGAACTTCCCCTATTCCACCTATTAGATATTATTTGGACCATCAGTTAATATCTTCTCGGACGATCTTACACTCGAAAACAAGATCATATTCTTGTTCAGGTTAAGGTACATTCCGAGCTTATTACGGAATGATTGCACACTCTCACACGATCTGGTTATGATTGTGAGCCGATTCCACGGGGCAACCTATATCAGATTAGGAAGAAGTTGGAGCGCACATTTTCCTGCATCTTCTTATAACCAGGGTAAACTCTTTATTACCTAGATCCCTAGTGATTGTTTGCTTAAATATTAATGTGGGTAGGTTACGATAGGCATCACCCTGAATCTGATTGTAAAGGCGTGTCAAGTTAGGTTTTAACCTTCGCAGGCAAAACGGATCAAGATGCGGTTTCTGGCACCACCGTCGATAGTTCTTGGTCAAATTTTCGCCTAATAAACCTTTTTGGTAAATGACCTCTTTAAGCTTCCTATAACTGTTCGGTTAGATTTCCTCATACTGTCACAGATTATGTTGCAATACTTCCTGCTGGTATGAGTAAAGCTTTTATAATGTTCAACTCTTACTTAGAGATATATTAGCCCCGAATTGTCTGGTTTGTACTATCTGGTATACAACCTGCTCAGAAAATCTGCAGGTGCAGAAGTATCTGATTCCGAGTTCACGGGTAGGAAGTTGTACACTGGCATTCGTTATTGTGTGTGATAGATACTTCTGGTAGCAAACAACTGCGACATCTGATGCTTTATTTATGTGCTCTGAAATTCATTATCCACTTATCCGACCATATCCCAACGGGGATGGCTATTTCTACGAGAAGTGTCTTGTTAGTGAAGATTCTCCTTTTTGATTGTTGTTTTTTTAGTTGACACCAAGAGATGAATAGCTCAAAGTGGCATTTTTCCCCATTGACTGTGATTACCAATTCATTCCGATTAACTGTCCCTGACAACCAACTAGATTTATTCTTGGCTAATAGCAGAATGGCCACAAACGGATAAAGCTTACACTGTGTTTTTTGCGATAAATCGGAATACTTGTAGCTCGGGTTGGCTGTCCTGGTTCTCGTTTGTTCTCCGAGCTGAGCAGTCGTGCTGTAGACGTTTCGTCACCAGCCGAGGTAACATCGTCAGTGCCTCACTGCTTAGCGTACAGCTGGTTGAGTGCGTTGTCGGCTCTTGATCGATGGGCAAGTTTACAGGAATTTCGACAGCAACCATCCAAATTGTCACAAAATAATCTGTATATTTCGCAATGTTGAGTCACACTGCACTACTAAAGGGGCAAAGCGAGAGGAAGAGAAACATCTGTTCACATCCTTCATAAGCAGTGGATACCCGCGCAGTTTCATCCGAAGGCACTTGAACTGCAGGGCTGAAAACACCACGCCTGAACCCACAACGAGGAAACGGATCGTTTTGCCTTATGTCAAGAACGTATCAGAAATGACGGCCAGATTTCTCAAACCGTATCATCTGATGGTTGCCAACATACCAACCGCCACCTTGTCTAAACCGAAAGATAAATTGAAGGTACACGAACGCAGTAATGTTGTTTACAGCATACAATGCAAACACTGCGAGAATATTAGTGGGTCAAACAGCGAGGAAATTGGTTACAAGAATACAAGAGCACAAGCGAGCTTGCCGTAACCACTACGCACATTGATGAGGAGGGGCAAAGTTTTTATTGGGACAAAACTAAGATTCTCGCACGGGGAGAAACGCGAAAAAGCAGGGAATCCCTTGAAGCATGGTTTACTACAGAACACTCCATAAACCTGTGCATCGATCTAGACCCGGTGTATCAACCATTGTGAAAGAAAGAAATTGAACGGGTCAGAAAAATCCTAACATAAGGCAGGAAGCAACGGCAGCCGAACAACAAACCATCGAGGGTCACATGATATGAAGCGAAGAAGCTAATTTCAAACGTCACTTGCCCATCGATCAAGAGCCGACGACGCAATGAACTGTCCACTAAGCAGTGAGGCACTGAGGATGTCACCTCGACTGGTGACGAAACGTCTGCAGCACAATTGCTCAGCTCGGAGAACAAACGGAAACCAGAACTGTGTTGCTTTTACACACTTGACTAACTTCTCCGCTGCTCTTCATAGAACGTTTTTTCAGCTGCTTCATGAGGCTGTTTGGTTGAAATGTGGAATAACTGATTAAGTTAGCTACCATCTTATCTACATTCATCGGTTTCCGCAGCCGCTGCTTCCAATTCTCATGAGCCAGTTGCATAGAGTAAACGTGTGAAATCTATTCTCCAGCCTGGTATTGGGCTTAAGTGAAGCCGTTAAGTTGTGTTTACCTTCACAGAATTTATCCGAAGTTAGTAGTTGTCAAGAGCCAACGACCTATTCGACAGGCATGACATTCGTCACTGCCATGGAGCGGTTAGCTTCACTTTTCATCGCATGATTTAAACCCAGATCGCGTGCTCGCCAAATCGCATTGAGCTTGGTACTCATTCTTTCGTCTTCTTCGTCCTTGTTCCTTTGGTCTTTTCGCACACACTCAACCTTTTGTCCCTTATCATCGGTATGTAACTTCTTCCACAACGCTATGAGTTTACGCGATTTAATACTCTGCCTTATGCGTTCCCCACCGCCTTCGTCTCATTCTGATGGAATCTTCATAGTCGCATTTCTGTCAACCTTCTTGTCTTCGTCTCTGAACACCAATCCTATTTGATACCTTTACTCTTAGCATTGGCCCGAATCACATCACCATCAGTGGGACACGTTTTTGCGAACTTTTGATCAGCTACTTGCCATATCCTTGAGTTTCATTGCAGTTGCCAATCCCCACCACGTGCTCACTGGTTTCCGCTATACCTTACAGCCCACTCCTCTCTTTCGCAAAATCGATACCGAAGAGGTCAGCCAATTATCCCAGAGGTTTAACGGCACCCAAGACTGCAACTGCAACGAAGCGGCATAACGTTTATCTTCTACCTCGATCTATACCCGTTCCTTGTATCTTCTGTGTAATGTATTGTGTATAATTGGATAACCTCGCTTTTTTCTTTATTTCCAAAGAAACAGTTATAGGGAACAGATCTTGCGGATCCGAGCAAAACCTAAGACTCCTGGGTCAATTCAGAAGTGAAAACAGGAAATACGCTAGCTGCTATTTTTTTTTACAAAGGATTAGGGCAACAAATTTGTGACTGACCTCGGCAGTATCCACCACAAAGTGCACAATAACCCTGTTCTCAAAATACAACCGGCCATCAAGCAAGACCAATTGAAAGCACCAGTCAACCTAACTCCAACCAGTCACACAGCCGCCTAAGTGACTCATTCAGGCACAGATTAAAGTAAACGGATCGATAGTCTAATCAATCAGTTTGCAGTCTACGTGGGTGTGCCAAAAATGGGAGATTCACTGCGCGGGAATACATGAAGACGTGAGTATACATTAACGCGCTGCTTCATACTGTGGCATTGTCGACGAATGAGAATCCACAGTATGTATGACGTCGAACATGTACTGAAGGGTAATAAGTAGAGCTAGAATCAAAGGGGTTGCATGTCTGTAGTTTCTCAACTAAAATTTTGGGCCAGGAGACCAAAACAATACCAAACTGAAGGGAATAAGTTTGAACCAACGAGACGTCCGTAACACACTGTGTCTGTAAACAACTGTGATTTGTGCTGCGTCGTTTGCACGCAACATACCTTACGTATAATCCATCAGCTAAAACCGGAACGCACACGTGTGGAAACGACGACTGGTGCACATCCTGCGCGCGCTTAGCCCATTGACACGCACGCTACTCACTGGCCGTTTTCTGTACATCATTTCATGCTTCACTGCCATCTCACTGAACTTTAAAGCATAATCCTACTCTGATGTGCATTAGAATAGATGTATCAAAGAAACGAACGAGACAACCAATAGGAAACGAATATTGTTTACTACAGCCGGCCAATGAGAATTTCGGTATATCTGTGCTGTTACATGTAAATCGATCATTTTGCCCTGATTGGCTGAATTCCTCGTCGTTTTTTTAACTGAGTCAAAGAAGTAACGTCATCGATCCACAAAGGTCGTCATTTTTGAATATACACAAACTATATATCTGCAGGCGTTCTGCGTGTCAGACGTGCTGTAAACTTCGCTAGTTCATTTTTGCTGATTAAACGCTTATCTTTCACGATATATACGGTCTAAATGCCCCACACATCACTGTTCTGTTTCTAATCTAAACTCCCACACGTGTAGCCCTTCATCGTGTACGCCAAAAGTAGGCTAAACGAAATACTGGTTCTAACAACCAGCCGTATCAAACAATGTCTCCAGCCGCGTGCCGAGTAAATTGTGTGGCTTCTGACCTGGGTCGTGAAATCGATCTACAGCGGATCCCAAACTGATGATTGTGCCCCCACAGGTTAGCGGCTTTGTACCCGTTTCGCTAGATGAGCGGGTGTGCATGGCACGTGTCGGTACCAGTAAAGCTGATTCGTTGATCCAGCGAACTGACTATTTTCTTAATGTCTCTATTATTTTGGTGTGTTAAGTGCTGCTGTGTAACGCGCCCAGGGCATTGTCGACAATTTTTGAGCGCAACTAATGTGACGGCTGAAACAACAGGTTCTGGGAGTAAATTCCATATGTGGCAAACACGTAAAGAGAAGAAATTCCGCCTAAACTCCAGCCGGCTTATCGTTTTGGCAGTTTGGGACCGTGGCCTCTCAGTCTGTTACTATGACCGAGCCTCGCCAGTTAGTAGCATAAGTGATTAGGGTTGCCTAAAATTTGGTTAATAACGATATGCTCACTTCGCAAACGCCGATAGCGCCCACTGAAAAACCCCAAAATACTCCGGCGCTGTTCGTAAGATTAATGTCATAACGCTTTGACGTTTTCCCTGGCCCGACGTTGGGGAGTTTCCAGAACACTGCGATCCCGCTGCTACCATGGCTGCTGTACCTGAAGATAGGTGATGCTATATCCCAGTTAGTTTGCAAATTATGTAGCCCAACCAACGCCCCCCATGGCTCAGTGGCTTAAGCTGCTGACTAATTGGCATTTGCCTCTAGCGGTCATGGGTTCGATCCACCTTAGAGTACCGAGGGAATGCGCACCACTGACGAGTCCCAATAGGGCGAAACGCGTCCGGTGCTTTTCCGGACTAGGCTCTGCTATGTAGCTTGTGAGCTACTGGGATGAAAACCTTAACAAAAGAACAGATGAGTCAAGGTGACCAACAGCTGTCTTTAATTGTCTCACGTTTTGGATGTCCTTTCCTGATACCAGTTCAGATTGCCCTGAGAAATGATGGTCTTCTTGGATCAGCACATTGTCTTTGTCATGAAGCAGTGTTGCAGTCCTGGTCGCCCAAATTATAAGTATGAACCATTCGGTGCCGTAGATTGTACTTTTCATTCAATCACGTTGAACTGAAGACAATTGTAGTCTGACCATTCCCGAATCTTGTCGAGCTCGTTTCGAAGCTGCATATAGTCTATTGGAGGTATGATCAACCGCCAAACTTTGATGTCTGCATAAAGTAAGCAGCGTTCAATGATTAAGCTCATTAGATCGTTAATGAACATCAGGTACAGGCAGAGCCCCAATACTGCACCCTGTACGCGATTCAACCCATCCCTTAGCTGCTACGGCAAACATATCATCAATTCCGGCAGAGCTATGTGGGCGCATGGGTTACATTTTCCTAATCACAGTGTCTGTCGTCTAATGCACATGAATAACTCTTGGTGGTGACACAGTACATTTCAATAGGTCCGAATACCATGGAACACACTGGAAAGTTGGCGTGTACTGCGGTTGCAGGGCATTTGCTGCTTTCGCTGTCCGCTGGAGTCAACTCACTTGGGATTCCTCGAAGAACAATCCGCTCGAAAGCCTTTGGACATAGTTCGTTGAAAAATTCATTGATAGAGTTGGAAATCAAGCAACATTGTTGCTCAAAAGTGATATCAATTCTCAGAATCATGACTCGCAAATGTATGTCAATAAGGAATGCAGCATGGCATATATACAAGGTTAACCCCGACCGAGAGATTTAGAGGGACTTCCTGACCCACTGCATCCATTGTACCACCCTTGTCCGTGGGGATAAAATTACCTATCAACAGTACTTGTCCAAAACGTTTCATATCAACAGGCTTCGTAAGGCAAATCACGGTGTCTCCATACTTTTCTCAACAGACAACAAGGCACAAAGCGTCGACGAGACAGCCAATCCCTTGCGGATACAATACTTTCGAACGTGCAGCCTGTCCATATCACACATTGTCATCCACTCTATCGACTCCAGTACGTATAAATATCTTTTTTAATCCAGCAATTGTTTCTCTCGTATTGCGCATTCATAGCTGTCTCACCCCAACTACACTGGAGGTTACAGCTAGCAACGGCTATTCCGTAAGTGCTTAGATGCGTAACAAGTCCCGATAATATGGAAGCTGGGCATTATTAGCCCAATATTTTAAGACAACAGTCATACAGATCCTGTAAACAATAGCCCAGTTACTCTCTCTTAAACGTGCTGGACGCGGTCGTCCGTGAGGTTTTAGTTAACTACATGGAATAATGCAGCGTCATGGAAGTGGAGCAGCATTGCTTCCGTCATACACTAATAACTTGCTGATGACACGAGGTAGTCGGACGGAAACGGATCATAGCAGGGCCGAAATCAATGTCATCCACCTGGAATTTTCCAATAGTTCCGACCGCTTGAATCATCGCATTCTACTTCACAGGCCACAGAGCTATGGAATCGGGGATCTTGTCCCTGATTGGGTTGGTATTCGGAGGCCGCAACCTAAGAAAGTGACAAGGTTTCAAGACGTAATGTGGGAATGCGGCAAGTCACGCGGAATGCTGTTGAAATCAGTCCGTCATTATGACACGAGTTCCTACCGGGCCGGCGATAACACGGCTAAGGCACACAGGAAGCTGATGAAGTCAGTGCGTCATCATGACACAGGTTGCTACGCAACAGGCGTGGGTGAGTTCGACGACAGTTTTCCGGTGCGTACCGCTAGCAGGTTTGGAATCTGTCCAGACAAGTGGCGTGGGTCAGCTCAGAAACATGCAGCTAGAGATGATGGCATGTGTCTCCTATAACATTAAGTGTGTTCTGTTCTTATATGCTTCAGTCTAGCAGGCCTCGGTGTTTTGTTTCTTCCCCGGTTGGGTTGACAGCGCAGAAAGCAGTGGCGAGGGCATCGTCACAACAGTTGGCAACTCCCTCCATCAACTGAGGCCTCAATTACTTGTTAACTGATCACTCTCCAACGCGGTTGAGGTGAGATGCAGTGCTTGGACCGCGATTTTTCCTCTTGTTTATCGATGACCTTGCATATGTTCTCGCCCCGGCTTTCCGCCAGTGATGTCGAGCTTTGGCGAGTGAAAATTTGCAGTGAAGATCGTATTTTCTTTCAAGGTGACATGGATGATGTTCATGAAAAGTCGACGAGGAACCTACTCCAGTGTAACACGGCTAGTTGCTAGGGAATTCATTTGCATCGTCAACCAACAAGCGTGTGCAAACTCTGTGAATGCACCTCACAGAAAACCTCCAGGGAGCGTGACCTTTGGATATTCGCCTAGGACCATATTGCCTGCTCGAAATACTTGCGGAAGACGTTACGAACCGAAAATCAACACGTCGGTCTTCTACGCAGATCGTCTGGTTGATTTGACCCTTCAATCTTTACACCTACGTGCGATCACACGTGAACTACGCCATCCGAGCTTGGCGTCCGTGCCCGAAGCCAGATCTCGCTGCGTCTGAGACTCCTCAATGAAGAGCATCCAGGAAAGTTGGCATCCTGTTCCATCTAACCTAACAAGTTAGAGTGAAGTCTGTGGATGTACATCGGTGGGTATCGGCGCTTGTGAGGGGCCACATAATTGTTTAGTAAATCCCAAGGAACCCAGACAACATTTACCGCTTGCTGCTGGAACTAAGTTATAACACCGTGAAAGATCACCACTTTCAACTGACTATGCAGTATAGCCAGATGA